CATAGATGCGGAACAGGGGCGTCGGGACGCCGAGGGTCTTATGGACGCTATTGGATTAGGAAACAAGCGGGTAGCACTCAACCCCCATAGCCCACCCAGAGAGCAGTCCTGACTATCCACTCTACGTTATCCTAGGTACAACCCCTGCGATATACAGATCCACTCACCCCTATCCTCCAACCCTCCAAGACCATCCACAACCCCCTCTTCACGTTTTCACCAAACAAACCCGGACTTCCTGCTGGCAGACGCGACGACTGCAATTAGAAGACGGGAAGGTGGAGGCTGACCGGCTTTCTCTTACAGGCTCATCCGTGATTAAGATAAACATATATTTTATCAACCCTTAACACCATCCCTTATACATAAACCTTAAAGCGGAACCCCAGCAGCCACGTTACGACCATATAACAACCGTAGGACGTACCAGTTGTTGACCCTGTCCAATGGACGAAGTCGTGGAAAGGAGTGCAGAATTGAAATAGGGGTAAATGACTACCGTACTTAATGAGGGGGGTTGAGAGGGTGCAAGGGAATTGAATTTTCCATTGTTATTAACAAGTGGTTGAGTTTTATGGGCGTGGCAGGAGTTTTTGCCCCAGTAAGTCTAATCCGATATCAGGGGGTGAATTAGTGTCTACATTAATCACGCTAGAGGTGTATGACTGACGTTAACTCGGGCATGTTGTCGCTGGATTATATATACGCAAGGGTCTATAATCGTTGGCAAGAGTGTCCATTCGTGTTGCTGAAGATAGCAGGGAGCAAGGGAGACTTCCCGTGGAGCCAGCACGACCGTTATCCGTAATTGGAAGCTCCTGCATAATTGTCCTCCTGCCATCTTCAACGGCACAGCCACCCCTAGAAGTCCACCCGTGCCACCCCGGCCCACCGGTACCTAACCTACCAACCTACCAATCTAACCCGAAGACTCGATTCTCGTCTGGCATCCACCTTGGTCATGGACTCCGTCTCTAGTTTCTCCCGTTTTTCTCTTTTCCCCGAGCAAGCTCAGAGCCGACGTTGCGCAACTGTTGGCGAACGTCGTCATTAACGCTAGTCACTCGCCGGATCGTCCTCTTCTTCGTCGCGACGTCGTTTAAGGAAACTGGAGCAGCCGTTCCTTCCTTTCACGTGGAATTTCAAATGGTGTATCTAAAGTATCTGGACCAGTCGAGATAACCGGTAAAGACGTCTGGAGGACGTTCAATCACGGATGGTGACCTGACTATGATGAACCCTGATGATATGAAGGGAGACGTTAGAAGAAGCGGTTGAAGATTGGTCAAAGGTCATGGAAGAATCCAAGTCACCTGAACTGATCGTTACTATCGGATTTCGAATTTGTATTCAGCCGGTGCCGAAGGCTGACCAAACCACGATAACATTTGGACACGTACCATGTTGGAACTCTAGGATGGAATTCTGGTCGCTCGATTTCTCTTCCACAGACTCTCACGACCTGGACCAATCCCGTGTGTATCCCACATCGCAATCATTTTCCCACATTCGCACGGGTACAAGGGATTCGTAACCTCAGATCAGCCGACACAGTTTTTTGGAATCATCAAATTTTTCAATTGCCTCTATGTATACGTGCACTTTTTTTTTTTACTGTCACGATGCAAGTGAAATTATTGTATAGTCCATTCGAGTAAACTTATGAATCGTATTTGTTCTTAGCTACGTCCTAAAAATTTTACCACGTGGTATGGATGGGTATACTAGAGGTAAGGTTAGGTTCGTCTGTCAGGGGTCGCGGGAGTCTGTGAAGTGGTCCTGCGTTAATTTCAGCTAGAGTTTTAAGCGAATTACAGTCTCATTAAATATTGACAATGTTCTTAGCAGTGGAGACGGAAAAAGAGAGAAAGGGATAGCGGAGGGTGGTGAGAATGGTGGGAGAGAGGGAGATAAGACGGGAGATGGAACTGTCAAGAAGGTCTGCCGTCTACTCGACCGAGTTTAAGTCAATTTAATTTTGATTAATTACACCTTAATTAATACTAGCGTATCCCCCCCCCCTCCCCATGGGATAAGGAAGAGGAGGGATCGATAAAAAGATTAAACTGTCGTCTTCTAGGAGCTAACAAAAACTGAGCTAAGCCTTGGTCCATCCAGCATCCCTGTATTTTATCTCTACATCTCTTTCAGACTTATATATTTTCGAGATCGACGTGGACCACGTGCCGACGTTTTTTTTTCTCGTTTCCTCCTTCACTATCATATTTATTAGAATTTAAAGCGAGACGTTTAATAAATACGTTATGATTTAATCTTAAGTTCCAAAGGGCGACTTGACTGAAGAGGACGGTGGACGCTTGGGAACAGAAGACGAGACTCGTACCAGGAACCGAAGGTAGACGAGGGATGATGAAAGGAAAACAGAAATTGAAGGATGAGATTTAAAATTAGAAATCGAGACGTATGAAGTTTTGTGAAAAAAATTTTTGAAAAAAAAAAAGTCAAAAAAATTTCCAAAAATTCAATATGCAACTAACAACGTTTACGAGGGGACGAAAATGGATTACTTTAATTACGTCCCAATCAACGAGCCATCCGGATACGCAGCACGCACTCGGCTCAGGGATTCGCGGAGTTAGGGGTGGATCGCGATACCACGAATTCAGATACGATAACAGGACAGCGTTACCCCAGCTACGAATTACGATTCGCTCGCGGAATACAGGATAATTGAATGCACAACCGTAGCTTGACACGCGTTGGGCTTTATTAACCCACATATACGGCGAGCAGTATTTTTAATTCGACGCGCGTCGAATTACCGATCGTATTTAACGCGCGCGAAAACGGCGTTACGTGGGTAATTGTGAAAGATACAAAAAAAAATCTTTTTTTTTTTTTTGAGAAAAAAATAAAATTTCGATTTGAATAACACAAGGAGATCCTCCTATACGTCTGTTGTGATTATGCAAGGGCTTTAAGGGTGTAAGCTGGGGAAGGTAGGTATACCACGCGGTCTCAAGCGAGGCAACAGGACGACGCTCGAGCGTCGCGACGACCGACGAGATAACGTTAATATCCGGCTCGGTTTTATAATTGCCAATTATTTCAGCTTATTCCGCTCTTTGTTCTGCCGAGCATTACAGCGACTGGGATATCCTCGAAGAATCCCAGAACGTCCCGCGGGTTCCTTTATGCAGCAATTCAAAGGGAGTTCTCGGCTAAGCTGGCTATTTTAAAGGGAACTTCTTAAAACCGTCGTTGGCGGCGCCACTTGCTTCCCTCGCAACACAGAGGTCGGTCGAGCCGTTAAAATACGGTAGATACGAGGCCCGCCGGGTATTTTCAACGTGACGAACAGTCCTCGAAAATTTTTTTTCCAAGATCCCATGGACCGTTATCAAGAGTAGCAAAATCCTTCGTTTCAAAAAAAAAAAAAAAAAAAAAAAAAAAA